AATTTCTATGCTAGGTTGAAGCTTCTGTCACTCTTGCCCTCCAATACATAGTCCTATCAACATACAACTAACCCTATGATGTGATCCATGTGCACGCTCATATGATGGGCACCAAAGGACAGCAACATAACCACAAGCAAATTAAACCAATCATAGCAATTCACCAATTACCGAAAGGACAACGAAAATCTACTCAGAGATCATAGGATGGCAACACATCATTGGATAGTAATATGAAGCATAAAGCACCATGTTCAAGTAGAGGGTACAGCGGGTTGCGGGAGAGTGGACCGCTGAATATAGATGGGAGAAGGTGATGGAGATGTTGGTGAAGACGACGGAGGTGTTGGTATAGATCGCGGTGATGATGATGGCCCTGGTGGTGTTCCGGCACCACCGGGAGAGAGGGGGAGAGAGCCCCCCTTCTTCTTCTTCTTCTTCTTCTTCTTCCTTGACCTTCTCCCTAGATGGGAGAAGGGTTTCCCCTCTAGTCCATGGTCTCCATGACGTGGGAGGGGCGAGAGCCCCTCCGAGATTGGATCTGTCTCTCTGTCTCTCTCTGTTTCTGCGTTCCCTGTTTCTGCCCTTTCACCGTTTCTTATATTCCCGGAGATCCGTAACTCCGATTGGATTGAAACTTTGAACACGATTTGTTTCCGGATATTAGCTTTCTTGCGGTGAAAGAAGGACAACAACCGCCTTACGGGGTGTCCACGAGGGTCAGGGGTGCGCCCCCTGCCTCGTGAGCCCCTCGAGCATCGTCTCGCGTTGATTCTTCTTCCCAAAATTCACATTTATTCCATAAAAAATCTCCACCACTTTTTACCCCGTTTGGACTCCGTTTGATATGGATTTCCTGTGAAACAAAAAACATGCAACAAACAGGAACTGACATTGGGCACTGGATCAATATGTTAGTCCCAAAAATAGTATAAAAAGTTGCCGAAAGTATATGAAAGTTGTATAATATTAGCATGGAACAATAAAAAATTATAGATACGACGGAGACGTATCAGCGGCCCGCTCCCGCGCCACCGCGCCAACCCCCATCGAATCCACGCCCCGCATCCATGGGAGGGCTGGGGGGGAGGGAAGCTGCAACTGCAACGAACGAACACGGATCTCCTCTCACCTTGCCCTTCCACCACCCGTAGGAGATCGGGAAACTCTATCTAGGGTTTCTCTCCGCTGTCCAGAAGTGGGAGAAGGCTGTTTCTAGGTCAAGGACTGGGTTCGGCTTGGGTTTTATATCCTCGCTGCTAACTCGTGGCTGGGAATGGAGGATTGGATGCACCCCCACGTGGCGCACATCCTCCATGGATGGGTAGGTGGGGGAGCTCGCGCCCGCACCAGTCTGCGTCGGTCCTCCCGCATGTCGCCCCGTGTACCGCCCGTGTACCGCATCCTTGTCAATCGGTGCACTCGTCGGCGCCGGCACCGATCTCGTCGGCGGTAGTCGATCTCGAATTCTCGCAAAATGGCAAGGGAAGGACACGATGTCTCGATGTCAATGGACTCATCAGCCTGCAGGAAGCGCGCATCAATCATGACGACGCACGCATCCACCAGCACCAGATGGAGAGCCTCTCGTCGGAGGAGAAGAACCCCGTCGGAGAAGGCGAGCTTGCCCGTCATGAAGTCGGCGGCGTAGGAGACTCGCCATCGCACGTTGGTCGCCACGTCAGTAGCCATCCGTGACCTGATGATCTCGTCACACACACAAAGTATCGCACTCATTTATATTATAAAATATTATAGTAGAAGCCACATAGATACCGATAGAACAAAAACTGGAAAAATAGCAGATCGCTAGCTTTGCACAAAGGAATACTCTACTAGCCAAGAAAAAAATACAATCAAGACCAAAGAATCTTCTGAGCTTGACACCAACACCTGTCACCTGCCTCTGGTATCATCACAACAACCACCAAAGGGAAAAAATGACGGATCACCTCCTCATCCGAGCTCGACGCGGCTGCTCGTTGATATTCAGCTTTGCTAACCTCCAAGATGGCTCACCAAAGACGAAACCATTGTGTTGAATGAATCAGCAACACCCCGAACACATCATCGAACTCTAGATCTGGCACCCCACATGACTACGGCGCCGGAAGTGGAAACCATATCTGCCTACTACCAACCACGAACCCAGCACACGATCCGTCTTCTAGATGTCGTTGATGCAGACCACTATCTGCATCCACTCCTTGACTACCTCTCAAGCTCCATGTCAGAGCTGGCACAATGGCGGAGTCCGAGGACACAAGTCCGTCACAAAAATGTCACCGCCACCACGACATCCCCTATTGGATAGGCTAGTTCCTAAATCCATCACCCGCCATAGAGTTGATCACCTTGTTGAGGGAGGAATTGGGGCTTCTTTATTCAGCGTCAATCGCTACCGCTCAAGCCAAGATGTCGAACGACCCAAAACCTAAAGCCATTAGGGCCCTAAAACCTAAGCTACCTGGTCCGCCCGTGCGGGATCCGATGACCCCATCACCACCGAGGTCGTCAGTGGAGGGGAGCACTGGAGGATGGCGTCAGTAGATTGGCCTCTGCTGGTGGCGGTTAGGGTTACCTAAGTGTAATTTTTTCTTTCTTTCTAACTTGCCTAAAACATACTCAATGCTTTAGCCGCCGGTAGATTGGCCTGGGGGCGGCTAGGGTGCCATCCCTTTTTTCTAACTTGGCCTTAAGAAAACCTAACTACTGTACGGGAGTAGATACGATCTCCCCCAAAACATACTCAATGCTTTAGCCGCCGCAGCCGCAGGGGCAACGGCAGCCTGGGCGGCGAGCAGTGGGCGCCCTTCACATGAGCTCGTAGAAGCAGGGCACCGTGCTGACCCTTGTAGGCGCCGGCTGACGGTCTGGTAAGTTTATTCGGTAACTTCCTGTACTGGTTGTAATTTAGGGGGCGTCCTATTTGGTTCGATTCCGCTTCGACTAAGGTTTCTGTAGCGTGTTCATAGTTTGGGCCCTGGCCAATGCGAATCTTTCAGCCGCCTTGCTTCTGTAGCGTGTTTTGATGATACGTTGGTGTTCGTTTCTATCTTCCTTCCTAAGGATGGGGTTTGAAAGTGATCACCTCGCAGCTACAAAATTCATTGTGAATTGGCACTCATGCAGTAATACACCACTGCTAGTATGCCATTCCATGCCGAAATCGAACCACACAGTTTTTGCCAATTAAAGGCAGTAGTAGTAAAACAAACAAAGTAGAACAGGAAAAAAAAATCATAGGGCAGCATCAACTTATGTTTGTCTTAGTTTCAGCGATTAGATCGACTTTCTTTCTCCTTGCCTAGGTTACCTATGCACTTAAACGTTGAGTTTTCAGATTTGTCATATACTTTCAGAAATTGATAATACAATAGTGTACCCCTGAATTACACTCCTTCCAGTTTTAACAGAAGTTTTGATAGAACAAAACACTAGGAGATCATAATTAAATGCTGATTTCTGCACTGCACGATACTGCAGTATGAAGATGAACCAAGGAATAACATTATTGGCTAGCAATTCATTAGCAAGACAGCCATGTTCCTACAGGAAAATCAAACTGCAAAACAACAGAACCAACAGAACCGAGAGTAGTCTTCTTGATGGCATCAAAGCCAATGTTTGAGAACCTAATTGAATAAAATGCAAAGCATGACACATTTGCAATATACAAATCCATACATAACACAACAGCTAATGATTTCTTCCAAATAACAAGATGCATGGTGCAGTGATCATGACAGTGCCTCTGCAGACAACTGTAGATGATTGCGAACTAGCCATTAGCTGGTAGCAGCAGGGTACCGTTCTGGTCCGTCTTCAAATTTGCAGACGACCTACAGGGATGTGAAACGTCTGCAGATTTGTACTAGTGCAAGTTGATGAAACATGATTTGTTTGATGATGTTGATGGTACAAATGGTTCTCGATAATAACATGCACATATCAGACGGATCTGGACGGCGTGGCGCAGTGCAGATTCGGAGTTCGATGTGGGAGGATGGACTCGCACAGGAGGACGACGCTGTCTGGCGTCGTGGTGGCGTCGATGGCAGAGAGACCTGGCACGGTAGATGCAACAGTACAGCTCTGAAGATGGACTCGTGGCAGGTGGCTGCGGCGGCCCCATACCCGGCAGGCGTCCTGGTTGAGGAGTGCGCCGGACTAGTAGGTGCCCCATACCAGGCAGGCGTCCTGGTTGGGACCTCAGGTCTTAGATGTTTAGGTTTGGCTGCGATGTCTGTTTGGTATTAGGCCCAGACTATCAGCGCCCCTTCATCAATTGGATAGGTGTAGCGACAGTTATTGCTTAGACGGTGGCTTTAATCTTACTGTTGTATGACTTTGTAAGGTCTTATGAGAATAATTAATAAAGTGGCCGTATGCATCGCCCAGATGCAGAGGCCAGGGGTCATCCTCCTTTTCTAAAAAAAAAAATCAGACGGACCAAGGTGATACTACTAATTTAGCTCCGATGAATTAAGGGGCCAAAATAACTGTGAAGCCCAGCAAAGTGCTACTGAAAAGAAAGGAAAATGAAAAAAAAATAAAGATATTATTGATCTGAAATTTGGAGACCTAAACAGCAGGAAAAATACCCAGACTAGCTACTGTAAAGACAGTTTACCCATGTATATACCTCTTGACGAATCAGATCATGGGGTGATATAGTGACATAGATCAAAATGTATCAAGATATAAAATGAAATGTTTGACAGGATTACTTACAGAAGACTTTGGTTACAAATAATAGATTCCGTTACATGAAATTAATACTACCAGCAAAAAAAAACATACGGTACAGATGCCTCCGGAAGGCAATTGGACACCAACTGATGTTTGAGGAATAAGTATCTTACAGTATAGATGTACCGACCAAATTCTGCAGGTGATGTTGATAATCGCAAACTTATTGTAATGATAATAATTATGATGCAGTTGCACTGGATGGACCATCCAAGAACGGCACTGCAGAAAGAACCGGTGAGCCGCATCTACACACGAACCTCTGGAACATGTACCATCTTCAGATGCATCCCTTCAGTGTCCCATTGAGTTCTGAAATCCTTGTGCAAGCTCAGCAGCCAGAGCTTCTTAAGGGAGCGAAGGGATTCAATGCCTTGAGGGACTTTATCAAGCTTGGACAGCGACACAATGTACAAACCATCAATGCAGGGAAGAGCGCCATCAATGATTTTTAGCTCACTGACATCATGCATGTGCTTTAAGACTAGCGTCTTCAGGTTGGGAAAGGAGTCTTTAGACAGAACCAAAGTTTTTGCACTGTACATGTTGTTCAGTCTAAGATATGTGAGGTTTGGCATGTGCGGTGCCAGCATCCCCAGTGGATCTTCCACAAGGTGACACCAGCTTATAGCTAGATACTTGAGGTTTTTCCCATGGCTGAAAAAGATCTGGCAATTTAGTGTTCCCTTGGCCCATTGTCCTCTGGTAATCAACCTGTGCAGATATGTAGACCTTGGTTTGAGAGCCTCGAAGCAAAGCACCTCATTCTCATCCCTTGCAGAAAGAAGCAAGCTCGAAAGAAGTGGCATAGTTGACAGGGTAGCAAAAAGATTTGCACAGTCGTCAGCACTAATGTCATCAATCCACAAACTGCTTAGTTGCACCAGCTTCTTCAGCTGCTCGGCCAACTCAAAACTGGACTGCACAGTCTCGAGAGTTTGCAGTTCTTCCAAGTTGGACAGCCCTTTAGGTGCTTGCACTCCAATAAAGTACCGGAACTCTGTCTGCTTCTCATCAGCATATCTATCGGCTAAAAGGTGCCGCAGCTTCTTGATCATCACAACCCCTCGTGGTAGCTTCTCTATTTGGGTTTGCTTGATGTCCAGAGTGTGGAGGTTAGACAGATTCTCGATAGAATTGGGGAGTGATTTGACCTTGGTGCCTCGTAAGCCAATGTAACGTAGATGGAACAAACGCCCTATGGATGCTGGCACTTCAGTGACTTCAGAGTCTTGAAGCTCGAGAACTGTAAGATAGATAGACTCAGACAAAATTGATGACAACATGCCAGGGGAGGACGCAGTTCCTCCGAGTGACAGTACTGTTCGGAGATGTGGAAGTTTAATTTTCACTGCTCTGTGGTCTTTCCATCCACATAATGACAGACGACGAACATCCTTATCCTGCTGTACCAATATCATTGTGGCGTAATCATCTGCTGAAGCAAATCTCTCTTCTTTAGCAACAGAAATAGCTAGTTCACGCACAATATCATGCATCTTACAAGTATTAACCCTGCCAAGCTCATCATACTCCACGACTTGAAGCATATTGCAGTGGATCAGTTCCATGAGATAGCTCTCAGCCACCATCTCCGGTGTTTTTTTATCTTTACTCCGCACAAAGCCTTCTGCAACCCACAGTCGCACAAGGCTTTCACGTGACATGTGGTAGTCTTCAGGAAAGAGACAACAGTACAAGAAGCAGAGTCTGAGGTTGTATGGAAGATCATGGTAGCTCAGATCTAAAATTGCTCGGATATGATCATTGTTTGACAACTCGCTTCGAAGTTGATTGTATTTTTGAGTCCAAATGTCTAACCGTTGTCTTGAAGACAACATGCCACCAATGGTAACAATTGCTAGAGGTAGGCCACGGCACCTGTCAACTATAGAAGTAGCTATCATCTCAAAATCCTTGGGGCATATGTGCCCCTCCCGGTTGTAAAAAGCCCTTCTGCAGAAGAGGTCAAATGCATCAGACTGGCTCAATGGCTCAAGCTCAAGGTGACGGGTGGGAGAAGAAATTCCGGCGACATGATCCTTCCGTGTCGTAATGATAATCCGACTGCCTGGGAGATCATGGAGAGCATCATGTATCTGGAAGTATATATCTTGCTCCCAGACATCATCCAGTACAATCAAATACTTTCTGTTTTGAAGTCTCTGCTGTATTTCCTTCTTCAAGTCATGCACATCCATTTTGTCAATACCTGCTGACAATGGTTGTTCGGTATATCCGATCTTCCATAGTAGCTCCCCTCAACAGGGCATCAACAATGTAAACTTGTGACACAACGATCCATGCATGTGCAGGGAAGTTGATCTTTTCACGTTCATAAACATTTGAAACAAGGGTAGATTTTCCCAACCCACCCATGCCCGATACTGTTATCACAGTGTTTTCTTGCTCTTCGGAGTACAGCAATCTGGTCAGCCATATCCTGTTGTTTTCAGTTCCTACTAGATCTCCATCTTTGACAAATTCTGGGAAGCTGTCTTGGGACCGCTGCCTTTCCATCTCAGTAAGTGGGTTAGGGACAAGCTGGGAGGGCTGCAACCACTCTTTCATCTTTATAACTAGTTGAATCTCCTCCTCTACCTCAACTACCTCATCTGTAATTTCACTGAAAACTCTGGCATAATGTGTTCCTTTGATGAAGAATTTCCTCAGGAACCCTTCTTTCTCAAGTTGACCAAGGTGGTACGAGTACTTATCCATTACATCTTCAACTTGATAGGCCACCCTGCGGACATCCCCAATCCAACTCTTGACAACGTTGTCCGTGAGGTATACCGTGTCTATCTGCCTTATAACATTGCCCATCATGGTCAGTTGCTTCTTTATTAACTCAACCTTTACCGGCAGTTCCTTCATATTAGTAACTTTTTCAGAAAGCTTATCTATGATTATTTTGGTGGCTTCTTCTAGTAAAATGCCATCAATCTTCGACACAGCAAGAAGTACCACCTCGGATATTTGTTCTGGAAAACAAATACACAAAGCATGTTAAGTGGATGTGGTAGAAGATCAAATTTCTTCAAGCTTAGCCCATCCTGCCATATATGAACATGAATATTCTCCATGGCCACCTTTTATCTATATATCACAATGTGTCAATCTATTTATTGAAGAGACTTATAAGTATTTGCTGTTGTTTAAGTTTTGACACTAAGCTCCTAAAGTCATCTACATTACCCTAGTTGAAAGGTGATTCTGCCCTAACTAGCACGGTGGCCCTCACAAATGTGAGGGAATCAATGGCTCACATTTATTATAATACACTCTTACCTCTCATGTGAAAAAAGGAGGTTAGAGGAATCATGTTAAAAACTGCTCTTGTTTACCCCCATTCATTGAATAATACATAACACTTTAAAAGATGATATATTTACAAAGGATAGACCTTTATTTTGCATACATATAAACACCCAGACACATAAAAGATCTTATCCTATAAGATCTATTCTATAAGAACCCTTAGAACATCTCCATAGATGATATAGATGTTACATCACCAGGGACCAATAGATGATGTAGATGCATGGGCACAATGTAAAATAGGCCACCAAGTGATGCAAATTTGCATCACTTGGGCCACTCGAGCAAAACGTAAGCAGTCGCGCACGCAACACCAACTGTCGCACGCCCACCTTCCCGCCTCCCGTCTGCCGCTTCCCGCGCGCCCACCTTCCCGCGCATGGACGCCTCCTCCGACCCCGCCGCTGCCAATGCCACACTAGCACACCTTGCCATGGCCATCTCCGTGCCTGCAGCCGGTCCAGCCGCCACTATTAGAGTTGTGTCGAATATTGTGTACAAGGTAGGTTATAGTTGGACTTGTAGTTGTATTGTGTTTAGATATGATATGGAGTCGTGTCCTAGTGGGACACTTGTATCCTAGGCCTCTCATATATAGCGGGGATAGACACACAATGTAACCTATGCCAACATAATAGCACCGGAACGCAAGCCGGCGGCATGTGCCGGTGTCCAGGGCGACCGGTGTGCGGTATTGTAGCGGTGTCATGGGGAGGAGCGCCCATAGTCATGCCCCGGGGATGTAGCCATATCGGTGAACCTCGTTAACAAATCTCGGTGTCGTGCCTCGTGTGATTGCTTGGTCCTCGGATGATCGACGGTATGCCTCGGATTTATTCTAACAAGTGGTATCATGAGCTAGGTTGTTTTGAAGGCCGTGGAAAGTTGATCTTAGAGGAAGAAGATACATCGACATAAATCTGCGGGAAGCGATTGTAATCGGGATGAATATCATCGGCGAGTTACCATCGAGGCAGGATTGGTCGTGTTGTGATCTTCGAGCAGTAATCTGAACGAGATGCGGATATATGAGGGTGTATTTGACAAAAAACTACCACGTTTCACGTCACCGTCCCACAGAACAACCACATTTTAAAAAGTGACCGAAAACTCCAGATTATTACTAATTTTATGACAAAAAACTACCACTTTCATAAAATGGCCATTTTAGACGATTTAAACAGGTTTATGACAGGAGGGGCCCGTTTGTCGGGGCTGACGTGGCGGAAATAGTCAACTCCGTTTATTTGACTGTCATGTTGACCGTTATGATGGGTGGGGCCCACATGTCGTTCTTCTTCTTCCTCCTCTTTCCATGTCTGACATTTTAACAAACACTTCATGTGCATCATTTAGCACGCATGTGGTCGGGCTCCTCCGACGTCGCATCCACACAGCCCGTCGCCGGACTGGTCCGTCCATGCCAAGGACCTCCTCCTCCGCGCGAAAGAAGCCGGCTCCGGCGCCCTCAGGCAAGTGCTCGCCTGCGTCGCCCATGGGCACCTCCTCTCCTATGCTCCGCGCCCTCCTCCTCGTCCTCTTCTCAACGGCCGGCGTCCACGACGCGTCCAGCTCCGGCGTCGCGCCATGTTCGCTGCTGGAGCCGGGGACGCCGCCGATGAACCTCGAGTGGAGCGCGCGGCTGCGCATCGCGCGCGGCGTGGCGAGATGCCTGGCATACCTCCACAACAAGAAGTGTGTGCACGGCAACGTGAGGCCCAGCAACATCCTCCTGGACGCGGACATGGAGCCGCTGCTGGCCGACCTGGGCATCCACCGGCTGGTCCAAGGCGCCGGGGACAACTGGCTGAAGCTGGCGGGGTGGTTCGGGAGCAAGCGGTCGGCCAAGAGCCTGCCGGACCTGTCGCCGCCGCCGCCCGGAGCAGGAGGAGGGGCGAGCCCGTGGCCGACGCCAGGCCTTCCTCCTCCATCGAGGCGGCCACACACTACCAGGCGTTGGAGGCGGCCAAGAACCCGATGAAGCCGAGCTCTGTTCCACCACGCGGGTACGAACACGAGGTGTTCGTTGAAATGCCTAAGAGAGAAAGAGGACGAGGAAGAAGAAGGTAGATGCTGACATGTGGGACCCACCTGTAATAACGGTCAATCTAACTGTCGAAATAAACGGAGTTGACTTTTCCGCCACATCAGCTCTGACACGCGGGCCCCGCATGTCATAAACAGGTTTAAAATCATAAAAATGGTCATCAACTCAACTTGGTAGTTTTTTGTCACAAAATTAGTACTAATATGGAGTTTTTTGGTCGCTTTTCAAAATGTGCTAGTTTTGTGGGACGGTTACATGAAATGTGGTAGTTTTTTGTCAATTACTCCGTATGAGGCGAAAGCATGGCGGCAGACGTACAGCGATTGATTGCGATCCATCGGGCGAACGTACAGGCAGCGCGGCTAAAGCCAAGGCAAGCGACGCACGGTGTGGGCCGGCGCAGCAGGGCTAGCTGGTGCGTGTGGCAGCGTCGACACAAGAGATTTGTTTGGACCAAAAAAAAAGGAAGACCGAGTCTCCACGTGACACGGATATTGGCAGGCAGATCAATCGGCAGGCGAAAGAAGTCCATCTAGCGATTCGCGTCTGTTGCATCAGCTGTTGAACCAGGGAGCTACACACGTGAAGACCAGAAGTTGTTTTTGGTTGCAATTTGCTAGTAGCACAGATTTGGTGTGTACTTGGGCATCACGTGAGAGGAAAACTCGGATAATTTTTCACAGCGTCAGCCATACAAAGAATCATGACGTCATCGGGCATCAGGTTTGAGGTGGAGAAGTTCAACGGAACTGAAAACCTTGGGTCATGGTAGACAAGGGTGGAAATTTTTTTGTTGGCGCAACACGGATGCTTGAAGGCGTTGCGGGAAGTCATGTCAGTTAAGATAGAATTATCATGTGATGGATGAAAATTTCGTGGAAGACGATTTGGGAGCCTTGAGCGTGTCATACAGTCGAACGAGTTTGGCTGGGTCGGACTGGGCAGTCTGATGGGATCGATGCAAGTTGGTTGGAACAGAATACGGTGGTGGGATCGGTGACAACGACATAGGAGCGTGATGCTGATGGTGACCGACTTCTGGGGCGTGGAAACACGTGGCGCAGGCCCCGAGAGCTTGTGTGGCTTCGACAAGACTATGGCGCGGGGGTGCACATGAGAGCTTGAAGTCAATGGGGCGTGTGGGTGGACTGATCATCTACCATGGAGTCATGTTGAAGGTGGAGCTGGATTGAGGGGCTACGGTGTAAGGATCCAAGGAATCGAAGCCTATTCAGCAAAGGGGAAAAAAGCGAGTGACACGCAATTCGGACTGGAGTCCAGTGGTGTGATGGAAGCGTGAAACTCGTCATCAGTCGGTGATGATCGGTGGTACTCTATAGTGGGGGTTGAGTGGTGCGGGTTCGCGACCCTTGAGACTCGATTAGGACAGCGGAGGCTCGACACGGTAATAGCGGCGAGGCGCGCGGTATGCACGGGACATGGAGACGGGTCAGGGCTCTGATGGTCATACATGTGGTGAGACAACTGCGAATTTGACTTGGGATGACTACAAGCAATGGTGAAATTCCTTCAAATTTCAGACAGGCGGTTAAGAAAGGAGCGGTGATGTTGAGTTCAAGTAACTCTTATGTGTGACACCCAATATGTGAGTTGTTCACTTTCACGCAAGTCAGTGATCAGTGTGTGATGGCGTTGGACTGATACTCTGGAAGTTGGGAGCGCAAACTAGAGTAACGTGGAACTTAATTTCGCTCGAGTGTTGATTGTGGTCAAGAAAAGAAGGGACTACAAATTGCAGGTGGAGTCATGTGGAGTCTTTGGAGTAGCAGCGGTGCTCATGGGATAAGCTCAAGTCCAATGTACATGGAAGTT